GGCAGGATTATTACGTTGGTGCATGCGCTCAACTCATCAACTGTCGAGAAGAATCCTTATTTTGCTGGAACTTCCTACGAAGAATAGGCTGCACGGAAGTGCTCTTTCTATATCGGATCCGTTCGCCGACGTCAATCGAAGTAGCCAAGGTTATTCCGCCTCAGATAAAGTGCACCGTAGCTGAAGTGCATTTCAATGTTTGGGTGCTTCCTCCTGTCTGCTGGTCGGTGACTGTTCCGTCACAACATAGTGTTATTCATTACTTTCGTATTTTACTAACAAAGATGGTTGCGTTTATGGAATGTTTTGGTAACGGTAAAGTACGTACCGCCTCAAAGATAGCAAGTGTATCCCTTCATTATTCTTGGCCTCGCACTGGGCTCAATCAGGTGCAATCGCTGCCATGGGGTAACAGCGTAAGCTGAACACCTAGATCGTTTAAGCAGGCTCCGATTCCGACGGATAGGTATGACCTTTTGTTTTTTTCTTTTTTTTAACTTTTACTTCCTTTTATTGTATATGAAAAAATACAATTTTCAGGAAGGAGGAAGCGACCAATAAAAGGACTGCCATTCAACACACAATGGGTAAAGTCAGGCGGTGGTAGTGAGACTCGAACACACATCCCCCTGGGTGGTAATTTCGGTGACGTTACCACCGGCCACCACCGCCCGGGAACGGGAGGCCATTTTTTTCGCTGAATTATCTGAAATGAAAGCAGTTTTGTCTAGTAAAAGTTCGAATCCGTATCTGAGCCCACCATACAGAATTTTATGATTCTGCACATATGCGTTGGCGAGAAATTTCAGAAAAACGGGGAGCCCGCTAAAAGGATTCGTGCATTGTATATGACTGAAGCGAGAATCTAGTGAGGGATCGAATAACCGGAGAGGAGGGGGTTGCATAATCCGTTTCATATATCTTATCGTTTATTAATGCCACATTTTGACGAACTATTTGGGGACTGTAAGTAATCAATTGCTCTCCATTTGGCATCGCACCAGGAAATTGCCACTCGCAAAACGTATCGTAGAAATTCTTCCTAAAAAGACAACAAACCTGAGGATAGTACAAAAGATTTTAATTGTATTTTGTTTACAAAATATTGCTGCCAGGGTGTGTTCAAAACGGCATGAAATGTTTCACGAGCAATTCACTGCATCTCTCACAAACACCAGAGATTCAATCGCGTCACGTCTGGTGTACCGTCTGTTTTATTGAGATACAATGAATTCCTGTACGACAATCTTCGTGGGTAACCCAGTGGAAACCAGGGCATCGCATTTCGTTTTTTCACTGGCATTACTCGTTTCCGCAATGCAATAGAGCTTTCTCTGTTTTTCAATCCTGCAAATCATTGCGCGTAAGTTGGAGAATGAAGCAGATGCCAGAAATCTAAATATCCGTCGGGATTGCGCAATCGTTCGCGAGCTTCTTGAACCGCATGATTATAGTCCTTCTTGCCCTGAAAGACACGTGAATAAATGGATGAATGAGAATGAGCCAACCGACTGTGCCTTTTTTGAACAAAGAGTTAACCCAATTGTGGCATATCGGATTTTTTATGAACTGGGGATGACCAGAGATAGTTCACCAGAGAAGATACTCTACCATTTGTAGGATACACGGTGAATTCTACAATAAAAAGTTACCCACTGACAAGCTATCTTTATCACTAAGATTTCATTCTCTCCGCATTAAAATTCTTCTTATTTACAAAGAAATACAATTANTATTATACACATTTTAACCCCGATTGACTGAGTGGTACAAACTTGAACAAAAGGAGAACTGTTACAGTGGTAAAAGGATTTCACAGTGTGGCTGGAGTTAACTTTTCCAGTCCCTAATTGAGCTTTTAGAATCAATTAGAACATAGTGAATAGATAAACACTTATTTTCGAGGAACTCAGTCGGAAGAGTTCACCCGAATTATGACGCGAGGCTATTCACTCCGGATACTTGTATTATCAGGCTTGCGAGATACGAATCAGAAGAGAATTGCATGTCACACATTAAACAGTTGGCTACCGAACGATGTTATTAGTTGACTGATTATGGTAATACAAATTTGCATTCGATGCTATTAATGCTGGTCAAACTAACTACGAGACAGTTAGTTGCCCAGGCACGTCGGGGAATAGCAATCATGTTGACTATCACCTGGGATCGGTGAAGCTCTGTTGTGGCTGATTTCGTCCGGATCGAACCCAACTGCGCTCACCGTAAACTGTTTGGGTATTCATCAGCATTGACCGAGCATTATCATTTGCCGGAGCAGAATAAACAAACTGCGCACACCGGGAACAGATGACAGTTTTCAGTCAGGACCTTGGTTGCAGGTTTTTCAGGTTGTTTAATTCCCCGGAGAAACCTATGGAGTTCTAGTGCTTCATCAAGCTGTCGATTCAAGTAGTCTGTTGAAGAAGTGTGAGCAAATTAATGGTGTCCCTTGAAAAAGTCATTTGGGAGGAAATGTTAACAAAATTTAATGTTAATGATTGAGTTAATACTATATTTCTTTTCCTTTTCTTTTGTTCAGCCAGAAACCAGTTCTCCTTTTGCACACAAAAAGTAAATACACAAGGCCACGACTTCTTTTTTGTTTGTCACTCTTCTTGCGTCGATCAAGCAAGAGATGTGAGTAAAACAGCCAGAAATCTGTCAAATTACACAAGAGAACCACATCTTCGTTGGATGACGCTAATCACAACTCGGTTCATTAATTCTAGTCATGTAGTTAACGTACCAGAAGTATTGTCTTTGATATACACGGTCCAGGTGTGAAGCGGCGCTGGAAGAAGTTACACCTCCAAACGGAAAACTTTCGTTCATCCCTTTGAGGTATCTCTCCAGGTTTTGGTCTTCACTTACCACTGAAATCTTGCCTGTCGCTCCCCAGAGGGCAGCGGTAGTACTCTGGCTAAACTACATGAGTCAAAAGGAGCTGCTATTGATTGTGCAAAATGATTTTCTGTATAAGAATGTCAGAAGATGCTGGGGACGCCATTATGCGGGACAATCCTATGCTTCTTCTATGGATATCAGGAAACTGCTTCAAACATGAGAGAACACGGCGAACACTGAGAGTAGAGCGACTCAATTCACGGGGTCTGTCTGCTAAATTGGAATTGTTTTCATCAATCTCGTCGTTCAATTCCGAGCATTGAAAGCTGTTATTCGAGGCATGACGGAAGCGGCCTTATTTAATATCAAAGAAGAATTTTCAGACCGTGGTAGATGAGATAGTTCACAAGTGAAAAACAAGACTGCCGAAGGATTCCGAGTGTCGTATCACAACTGCCGCAGAAACCATTTTGCTGTAACGCTGTAGCCACCAGATATACGATCAAAAAGAATTAATAAAGTCACTGATCTTCCTTGGTTACCATCATTTGATCTCATGACGCAATCGCTATTCATTTACTTGAAATAGTTCGCCAAAGAAAATAACCCCACATACCCTCAGGGGAATCTGTTAAGCGATACTCATCAATTTAGTACCGAAATAAGGCCTTATTTCTATGTTGTGTTCTGTTATATATATATATATCTTATTAATCAATAGAACAAATTTATAAAAATGTATCGTATTTATCTCTGTTAGGTCAATCAATTCTCAACATCACAGAATTGCTTCATTCGAAATATTGGTGAACGGGTTCAATCTTACCAGCGAAATTGACCACTGTTTTAATTCCAGTTAAGTACATTTAGCTGTTTAACTTTAGTGGGAAAACGAAAACAAATACAGGTATGGCAAGAGCCTATGCAATAATTTCTTGACAAAGCCTTTCGTGAAATCGGCTACCTTATTGATGATGCTATTGTAATTTCACTGATGATACCATTGTATCATCTTCGAACCGAGTAGGTTAATCAGCTGTCGGATAGATGGTTAGAATTTTCATCACATTCATCGGTGCTTTTTGTATGCCATATAGGGTTGTTATTTTTTGTGATATATCCCATGGCAGTGATTCAAAAGTATGCCAACCTCTATGATCACTGACAAACAATATCTGTTGTGCGTCCCTGTCAGGACGTGGACCGTGAACCTTCGAGTTGGAATTCGAAACGTTTACGCCTAAGCTACACGGTCGACGGGCATCATCCTGTGCGAATGGTTCAATCTAGCACCAATTACCAGTGAACAATTAAATTGGCTAGTCTAAATATGATACTCTATGATGGTTTTATTACAATGTTTACTACGGGAGATCAGCGACTAGTACTCGCACGATTTATCTGAATGCGATCAGGACAGATCGGTGTTCCAGAAACCTGCTGCACTAACACGAAAGCTTATATTCGTTATTGAATATTACCAGTATCACTTATCTTGGGGGGGGGGCGAGTATCATTGTATTCAAGCGAACATATTTCTTACTATGAGGATTTTTAATGTGTTTCTGCTTGGTGTTGATCAAGCGGTTTAGGTCACTTATCGACTTGGGGCTTTGAGATCGGGGGTTCGAACCCTAACACAGTCACCCAGTTTTATTCATACGCACCTCCATTGCTGTCCGACCAACTCTCACGTGATTTGGCATCCCACACTACGCGGTATCATACGTAACTAGTAGCTACACGTGACTATGGAATACTTTCTTCGGCTTTCATCATGCAGTGATGAGCAGTAGTTGAAATGGAGTTCCCCTCTGGCCAATCTGGGACATATGCAGCTCTCCCCACGATATAGTACCCAAATGGTTGGCTCGTCTTCTGGAATCGGTGAGATTGACGTTAACTCAGCATAGCCTTAATACAATTGGTCTCACTGACGCCAAGGGTAGCTTAAATCTCAAAGATCGCCACATGTTTTTGCTAGATGTCACATCTCTCATCACGAATGTTCCGATATGTGCATCTTTACAGAGGCAGCGGGACTAACTTAGGCCTGCCGGCAAATGACCTAAAATAATTGTCATTCTTCTGCACTCAAAATGTGCATTTGAAGTTCAATGAGAAAGTCTATGACCAGAAGGACGGTGTAGCAATGGAGCCGATGTTTTCATGTCTAAAATAGGAAAAGGTCCACTTAAAACACATATCGAACAGTGTGTATCGTGCATATGTTAAGTAGACGATATTTTGTACTTGGTCGATTCTACAATGGACTACTAGTATATACTCTGACAGTTGGTGCTGCCATTATGTGGACCCCTGGGACTCCGTTGGGCTGTTTAAACATTTGAAACATGCCTGTGTTATGTACGGTTTGCATTGTTTGTCCAAATCACTGATTATTAGTGGTTGGTGCATATTTTGATCACATGAACTTGTGAGACGACCATATTTAGTCAGAACTGATCGTTCTTGGGAGATCACCACGTACAATCCTTATTTCATCCCAAGTGAATCATACACACCCACGCATGTGGTAAGAGGTCATCAATTAGATTCAGTTCGATTTCATGCATCACTGAATAAGGCACTTTACTTTCGTGGATTCCCTGTTCCCACGTATGTTTCTAGGTCATCCATTAGAGATGCTGGTGCATTCGGTTGCTGAAACGAGGTCATCAGCTTTCTGATCAGGCGTGACCAATCCAGTGAATAGCAGATCATCCGCGGTTGTTGTTGTTGCGCCGTTATCAATCAGACCAAATCAAACGCAGATACGTTCGTTATTTGATTACCCGGTTTGCATAGATTTTATCAATAATCACTGCCCAAATGGGTACGGGAAAACATTCAGGCCTATCGATCAATGGGTTAGGCCTTATATACGGGCATATGGTATGGAGAAACGCAATGTAGATGAACTCAGTATTTTGCAATAGGTATGGCATTCTGTAATCGATATCAGTGGTACGAATCAGAAAGAGTCATATTAACCACCTCTTGCTCTACCTAATACTGATTATGTGACATAAAATCGTTGAGAGGAAAATATTTAAACCATATCTCCCGATGCAATAATATGGCACTTATCCATCCACTTCACCACGCTTGTGAGATTACAGCGCAAAAGCTTTTCTAGACATGTATACACTGTAATTCAAGACCGCTTGCAACAATACTCGAACAACTGGACTTGCAAAAGTCAGAGAGCCAAAGGCTCTTCGTGCATGAAGTTAACCGGAAAGCGTTCCCGAGACATCACCTAGATCTCAAAGTAAAGGTGAGAAGAGCACGTGAGCAAATCAAAGGATATCTAGCGAACCGCTCGATATAGGAAAGTTAGGATACTTTAAAAAGTCACATGTAAGTTACGTGATTAAAAAACAGGGCAGCTTTGGTATGGGGAAAAGATTGCTCACTGAATATTGCAATAATCCTGTCAGGACGGGTGAGGATTTATTTAAGAAAAGATCAATGAATGACCTAATGGGGATGGTTGTGTATAGAGTGTATCGGTCTTTTTCGTCAGAAAATAATCAGGATTAGAGTTTATCTTTTTGGGAAATCTTTCATTCGTCACATATTATATTTGTAGTGAAATGTTCTCGTCAGAAATGTGTATGCACATGTGATGATTTTAAATGATTGTAGATCACATTTCTGAGGCTAGACTAAATCTAACCACGTGCATTTGCTTACCAGCGATGGTTTAAGCTGATGAATCACCCGATGGTATTGCGCACTGATCTGCCGCTTAAAGTTTGCCGAGCCGTAAGCACGAGCCGCTTTCTTCTGACGTATCAAGGCCGTGAGACAGATGGATAACTGGTCCAAATAGGTCCGAGGAAAGTCACGCAGATCGGTGCACACGCGTTCGTATCGTACGAGGCAGGGAAGCTGGTTTGGACAGAGAGAGAGAGGGCAAGGAAACATCGGAGCAGAATGATATCGAAACGCAAGCAGATATGTGAGGCCGTTTATTTATACATCAGTATCATTATCATCTTATAGCAAAATACAGTGAAGTGAACCTCCTTGATAGTTGCCAAACTCGCAACGCATACAAGGTTAGCGGTAATATGTCAACTGGACAGGGATTAGACCTATTTTTTGGAAGGAGAAAAAACGTGAACCTCCATGATTAGTACACAGAGTATGCAATCGAACTGTGCATACATACCGTTTCAAGCATTCCGGCCTGATAAGAAATGACAACAAAAACGATACTGCTGTCGATTTGCCATCACATCTTTCAATGTCTCTAATCAATCAGTTATACAGTGTTTCGGACCCCAAACTGGAAGGCGCCAGACATCTAGGCTACCTAATGGCTCTGTGCATTTCTTCATGCCTCGTCTCCACGTCATCTGTTGACCTCCACGTGGTTTCCTCCAGCCCGGAGTAGCTAGAGTGAATAAAGCGCGGCACAACAGACGACAGATGAGCATACGCAATAGGTGCGCTAGCCGGCGAAGCCTACTAATCTAAATTCCATGAGCCAGTAGGTTTATCTGTGACAAAGTCGCAAACACACGTTGGCTTACATCCAGATTACTAACCCCCCCATCGCTCCGTCCCGCGTGAGTTAAACTACGTAAACACCCATAATTCAAAACTTCTAGTCGATGGATATATTCTACCCGCAAACTCGAGGTCACACAACCATAAAGCAGAACTGAACGAACGGTGGCACAATATACACGACCTTTCGACATTAGTGAAACGTTGCGTCCATACCAAAGATATTTCATTCCTGTATACACTGTTCGAGCCTTGGAAATGCGGACGGTTATCTTTTTGGCTCCGCTATCGTCATTGATCCAATAACTACGTAAGTATGAAAATCAATTCACCATAAATAATCCCTGACCATTTATTTTCAAAACGGAAGTATGCGAAGAACGATGGAACGCTTCATAACCATGGTAAAGAGAACCATTTTTTTGGACTACTAAGAACATTGACATCAGATTACACAATATGGATAATCAGGTTTGAAACGTGACGTAACACATCGATGGACTGAAAATTTAGGCTTTAATTTTAACTGTCCATAACATGATTCCCATTAGTTTGTCGCTTGTATACAGGACGACGTCATAATATATATAAACATATATATATATATGTACATGCGAGTGATTAGGTAGCCATCCGCTATTTCAAAAAATTGGAGAAAAATGATTTGGGCTAAAAGTTGATGACCTGATGTACAGATCGCGTTCGAGCCAACCCAAGCTCTAAAAACGATACGCTTAGAGTTTAGGGGCAAACTTTACCCTGCAAAGCCGCTCACTGACTGATACTTGAGCGATCAGTCAAACATGCAGAAGGTACACAATCGTGTGGATGATGAAGCTGATTGGTAAAACGTTTACTTCATATGTCAAAAGCTCCGAGTTTAGTCCCAAGCAACTCCACTCAACTTTAGGCCATCACGACGAGACTGCACCTTGACGTGGTGTGATGGCTTGCGCGCCTCAGTGACCCTACGAGC